GAAGCACATAAAACTTTGATTTTGAGAAGGTCCCAATCATCTGGTTTCTCTTCTGCTGTGTGTGCATTTTGAGTTATGCTTGAGAGTCTATTTATGCCAGGCCGTAAATCTTTACGGAAGTAGATTGCCCAGTCTTTCTTTTGCGGAGTGGCTGGTGGGTTTGAACCAATGGCCTTCTGGTTGGCAGCTAAATGCCTTAGGCACTATGCTACCAGAGCTCCTCAACTTAGGTAGTGTTAAAAAACAGTGGGACTTTGACAATTAAAGAGATCAGCTACTGAGACAAAGAGAAAGATAGGGGAAGAGAGAATGATGCAAACACATGCAAAACCACTATGAAGTATCACAAAGAGGTTTTGGCTTTTTTGCCATTTATGATTTTATGATTAAAAAAAAAAAAAAGCCTATGCAGTGGGTTCTTTGAAGGTTATAAACTAGTGCAGAAGAACAAGTCACATGGAATACATAAAATGCTAAGTGATACAGGGCTTGAGAAAAAGAAACAGGTTAAACATCTACCATCTGTTACTTACAGTGAGCAAGATCCTTGGAAAAACAAGAAGGGGCGTTCTTGAGAGATTAATTAGGTTGGTTTGCCAGGAAACATTTAATAAGATGCCCCAAAGTCTTGTAGTGTTGTCCAAGCTTCTAGGGAGTTGTTTAATTTTAACAGTAAGTAGGTAGATAGAATATGCTTTATTTTTATCCCCATTTTACAGGGTGGAAAATAGAGGAACAAGGCACTAATATCACCATGAGCACAGTTGAGGGGAATTTGATGGTGCTTTTGGATCATTCCTATTGCTCAAATCAAAAGAAATAGCATTTGTTCCTCTGGCAGATTTTCAACCTGAATTAGGTACATGGAGCCAGATAAGTGAATGAGATTTCCATATGTGAACTATGGGTTTTATACAATTGTTTTGCCAAAGTGGGTGGATAATCCTAGATAAAGGAAGGAAGTTCAGATGATACCCACAGTAATGAGAAAGCTCTGACCCACCCTCTTCCATGGGTTTAGTTACCTCCTTGTTTTAATGTGGTCTAGACTGTAACATAAGAAAGCCAGGAGGATTAGCCCAGCCATATTGTAGGATATTGCCAGAAAAATAGCATTAAACTTAAAGTATTTATTTTGTAATCTAGATTTCTCTTGGGCAATAGAGTGTCTCAATATTTACTTCTGATTTTTTTTTGCTATGAGATTATATGAAGTAGGTTCAATACTACCCTCCTAAAAATACCCTGAAATCCCTTTTCTAGATTTGAAAAAGCTTGTCCATGCTGATAAAATTGGGGGGGGGGGACAAGGTGTCATTCTCTGTGAAATGAAGTACTCTGTACTTTTTTCTTTTAATTACGGCTTTTGATACATATGGCTTTATTTTTTCCTATGTTTTATAATTGATTGTATGACGTTAAGCATATGCTAAAAAGTACTTAGCAACTAAGAACTGAAGAATTTTAAAGTCGAGGACAAGTATTTATATATTATTAAATGAGAAGAGACAACAGCATTACAGTATGACCTCAACTATATAAAAGTGCATGTACACCCATTTGTACATTCATTGAAAAAAGACAAGAAGAAATAGAAATAATGTTTGCAGTTTTGTTGTTCAGGATAGTGGGATTCTGCTGATTTTTATTTTCATTAATCTTCTTTTAAAGTTCTGTACATTGTTATAAATTCTAAAGTGTTCCAGTAGCTATGTGTTACTGTTATAAAAAAAAATAATAATAAACATTTTTAAGGAAAAATAGACCTTTCACTCAAAACTCACTGGAGTCAAGTCAATTTTGACTCATAGTGACCAGGTGGTAAATCTTTACGGAAGTAGATTGTCCCATCTTCTCTCTGCGGAGCAGCTGGCAGGTTTGAACTGCCAGCTTTCTGGTTAACAGTCAAATGCCTTAGGCACTGTGCCACCAGAGTTCCTTATTCAAAGCTTTTCATGAAACTGGGGTTTTCATATCTCATTTACCAGAATAATAGCAAGACAAGTTACATCAAGTTTTTAGTTGTTGTTGTATTTATTTGTTTTCTTTAGGAGGGAAGTAAATATTCCTGCCTTCAATCATTCCATTTTCACCACTAGAAAATCCT